CCCCCAGCCTCTCTATCCTACTGCCTCTCTGCTCTGCTTCTCCCTGCCCCCTGTAAATCCTATGCCTCCTGGCACACGGATGCCAAGGGGCCTGGGGGACCATGGCAGCTGCCTTCCCTTCTCCAGTACTTCCATCCCCAGCAGCCTCAGCCAGCTGGGGCTGATCCTGTGTAGCCACACAAGGTCCATCTAGCCCTCTGCTCACCCATCCCCAGCCTTTCCCCCTGGCATGGGTGAGGGGCTCCTTCCCCTCCAACCTCCCCAGCCCTCCTGCCTGCATCTGGTCCCACACTTACCCCTAGCCCCACTGCTGCCCTGCTGGGGTAAATCCAGGGGACCTGTCTCCGGCCGAGGTCGTGCTCCTGGCTGCCCAGGACCAACCTTGGTCCCACAAGTGGAAGCGAGCAGGGCCAAACCTGTTGTGCTCCTGAAGTGTTGCTATGTGACACTGCAGCTCTCTGGGGCTGCCCTGGGGCACAGCTCCTGTAACTCCTTGTCTCCTGGTCCCTGGACAGCCCTGTCCTCTTTCACTCCTGCACTGTCTGCATTTCCAGCTGTGCCAGCACATGGACATGGTCTCTCCGGGCATGTGCCCTCCAACCTCGGCTGCTCCCTGCCAGCCCTGAAAAGTGCTTACTGGTGTTGAACGTGCAAAGGAAGATCAGGAGGTGGAGAACAGCCATCACCACTTTGCACCCCAACTATGGGCTGCACAGGGGCTGGGACCACCAACAGCTTGATTTTACCCAAAGGTTTGCATTCTTCGGGTACTTTTCCTCCCCTCCACCAAGGGAGAGTGTGGGTGAGTGGGCACCCACATGCCAGGGACCCTGCTGCTGCAATGCCCTGGCCCAAGGGCAGGGTTGCTGGGGGCTCCCAGCCCCAAGCAGGGTTTCTCTCTGCCAGCAGAGCCCAGCCCAGCTGGTACAGCACAGCCGCCCCATCAATGTGGCTTTGTCTGGCCTGGCTGCTGAGCTATTTGAGGAAAGTGGAGATGGCTTTTGTGTTTCTATCTCCCGTCAGAGGTATTTATAGCCTCCTGCTGACTAGCGCTGCCAAGCGTGCTGGCAGCTGGACCCCGCTCCCTCAGGGTGCTGCCATCGACTGTGGACCCTGCTCCTCCCTCTCCCACCATTGCTGACAAGCAAAGGTGGGTTCCTCTGTGGGTACCCTCCCCGTGGCCTTGTCCATGGGATGCTTGGGGCCGGCCAGGCTTGGGAGAAAGGGGATGGGGCATCCCCTGGCACAGCACTTGGTTTGGGCCTGGGCA